AAATCTGTCAGAGTGACAATAGTACATCAGTTTTCATTTGGAATATATTGTTGTTCTTTTTTTCAACTGGTTTCCTAGAAAGGTCATTTAAAGAGCTTATCATGATGTTGCTCAGGCTGCCTTGTTTCTCCTCTTCTTCTCATTTTTTAGTGACAGGAACAGATTATATGCAAACACAATCCCAGATTGCCCATCTGTGGCTTGTATTATCTTTGCAATTAATAAAAGCTATTAAGCTAACTGAATTTTTCTGCTTTTTTCTCTGACTTCTCATAGCTGCTACTGCTACTATACTGAACATCCCGAATAAACATCAAGCCATGCAGCATCTGGAGTTTTTCCCTTCAATCTGAACTTCAATCTTCCTTCAGAACGACTCTGTCTCCTTAAACTGAGTTCATTTGTTACAGCGAAGCGATCCTTTCATTTGCTTATTCTTGACCTTTCTGAAGTTTGAACACCAAAAATATTGGATGGATAATTCACACAAATATAATGTTGTAACAATATGCTTAAAAAAATGCATCTCCTCTAGATGAAGTGATCATCATCAACTTCTTCTTCTCCCTCCATTCCGCAGTCGTCTCCTCGCTCTTCCTCTCTGCTCTGGGCTGAAGTGGATTTATTTCCAGGAGCAGCTGAAACAAAACGTCAGTCAGCTCAGCTGCTGTTAATGCAGTTCATGCTGCTAATCTAACAACTTCTCAGTACCTGGTGGATTCTTCTGAGCTCTATGAACTAAACACTGAACACAGACGAAGGCTGCGATGAGGAGGAGGATGAGCAGGCATCTCAGGATGAAGATGATGTTGTTAGGTTCGGTACGGTCTAATGGTATTTTACAGACAGGGGAACATAAATGAACAAGTTAATGGAAGTCAAGCTTTCTGGAATGTTTTACCAATAGTTTGAATATTTAGAAGAATGCATATTATAAAACCAGATTGAATGAAGTGAAATCTTCTGGCGCTGCCATGTTGTCTGAACTTTGGACCCATAACTCTGGCCCATTTAAGCTGCTTTGTCAGTTTTTTACCAATCATCTGTCCTTCGGTTGTCTTCACATAACAAGATTTAGGAAGAAACATGCAGAAGGTTTGAACTCTTCCAGACATTTTATAGCTCCTATGACAGAATGCATCTTGAAATGATATATTTCTTATAAATATTTGTAAAATGTCAAACATAAAATTGTTAGCTACTTGGATGTAGACTAAAATTTTCTGCTGTTCTTTTTAAGCCTGGATGCTATTATTTCTTTTATTCACAAACAGGGAAACTGACATTATATTTGTTTTGTTTTTAAAATGTTCTATATTTCATTTTGAACTATGTTCATTATATTCCTTTCATAATTATTCATAGGTGTGCAACAGGGGGGTGAAACAAGTCTGAAATAGCAAATGGTGAACCAAGATGGAAACAGTGCAGGATATTAAATCCGTCATTTAACTTATCATCAAATTTTCAACAAAGACAAATTTACTCCATAAAAAATATTTGCGTAAAATGAATAATTTTACATAAAAAAATTATTGCATAGTCTGCAATATCACAGTCTGCAGCTGTGATGCAGACAGGTAGCTATGCAAATAAAAAATAAGATCCACACTTGTAATTATTCTCTGATTTCTGAATTTAAAATTCCACCCAGCAGTCAGATTAATTGTGTTTTAGTCACCTACCTTCATCAGTTGTGCTTTTAGTGGCGTTCTCTCTGGCTGTAACAGTGATGATCGTTCCATTTCCTTCAACTTGAACAAAAACTGGTATCTCCACAGTAACCTGGCAAATGTATCTTCCTGAATCACCTTTTGTCATGTTTTCTATTGTGAGAACTGAACACTTAAGTTTCTGTTCATTCTGAGAGCCTGTAGAATGATATATGACAGTCTTATCATTTATTAATGTTTGTTTTTTCAGCCATTTAATGAGAGCTCTTTCAGCTACCCAATCCCAGCAGCAGGTGATGTTTCCTGTCTGTCCTTCTTGAACTGAAACATCAGGACTCTGAATAACAACTGCATCTGAAGAAACACCTGGACAGAGACATAGCTGAGAATCAGTTGTGTGAAGCTGAAAACGTCCTGATTTTGCATTTTGACATGGAAATGAGGCATACAGGTATATTTATATGGTAAGTTTGATTTAAACAAAGAGCAGAAAAAAGCTGAATGAAAATGCTGCACTTGCTCAATACAACTGCATTTCCTGATGAGACATTGACAAATTAAATGTTTTTAATTGTCATTTTATAAGATATCCATATTTACATAATGCCTGACATAAACTTTTGACACCAAACATCAAGATTAGTTTTCAACAGATTTAGAAATGAGTTGTTCCTCTGCCTTGGCCCATAAAGCCATCGACTCAATCAGTGCTGCATTTATTATATTTTGATTGTTCTATTAATCTTATATTATTTGGCTAATAACAGATCAAGCTGTGAACCCCTCCTGTCTCTTTGTAACAATTCCCAGCCGTGGTTTACTCACCTATTATTATAGTTTAATTTAGTAGTAAATGCTTTACTTTTATCAGCCTGCTATTATGCTTTAGTCTTTAAACCCGACGTCCATGTTGAGCGCGAGGTTTTGTGTTTCTCAGAATAAAAGCAAACTGACCAAGCATATTTAGCTGAAGTTAGCTGTCTTGCAAACATTATTCTTTTAATTTACAGCTTTAATTTCTGAGAAATAGAAGGCATCCAGCGGAAATGAACAAAAGGTAAATAAATGAATGTATTATAAAAATGTTACTCACTCCAAGATGAACCTGCACAGAGGAGCAGCAGACCGGTCAGTAGAAATGCCATCAGTTGACAGACGAACATTTAATACAAAATAACGACAACTGCGTCTCCTCTCCTTTAGTATGACCTCTAACACAGATCACTCTGTGTCTTTATTATAAATGATCTCAACTGTTTTTGAGGTGCAATGTGACAAACCACAGGACAGGTTCCTTCCTCTCTGAAGCATCACTTCATTTCTCAAGCAGGTAGAAGTTCATCTGTCTGTATTTGTTCTAAAAAGTAAATACATGAATTTTGCAGGTCACATTTTTTAAAATACATGTTTTATATGTTATTATCTTTTAAAGGAATTCCACTGGGGTTCAGTGTCCAACCTTAATAGAACTACAAAGAAATGAGTGCTAACCAGGAAAAAGCTCAACCACAGACTTAATAAACGTACTACTCTGGACCAACCCTCGACATGTGTTGGGACCCAAACAGACAGAAGCAAATAACCAGAGTGATGTGTTTCTGTCACGAGTTTTACACACACTGAGCCAACTGTGGCCTTAAACCATTTGAGAAAGCCCAAGTGATGATGTCATCTGTGACTTCTGGCTTCACAAGCTGTGAACGCATGTTAGCACAACACTTCAACCACATTGCTTCAATTTTGCAGCAACCAGATGCCTGAAGGTGCCACTTTTATTGTTTGCACACTTTCATGCTTCTCTAAACAGCATGGACACGTCTGGCCTTAATACAGTCCAGGAATAAACAGGCTTCTGAAGAGGAATTGTGTGTTGTGGAATTTTCTGATTAGAAGCGATTAGAACTTTGAGTTTCATTAAAACTTATTATAAAAATTAGAACTATGCCACAAGGCAGTCCTCCACAAAGGTATGGCAGAAACCTGTTGGAGTGATATTCATTATCCACAACGAGACGAGTCAGAGAGGATGAAGCCATTCCTCCAAAAGCAACACAGCGAGCTAGATCAGGATTTGAAAACGCCCTCTGGGACAAAGATTTGAATTTTCGGAGCCATGTTTTCATCTTCCTCTGAAAGAATCATGGAAATGTTGTTGAAATCCGAATATTCTTGAGTGCAAATGCCACCAACTCAGTTCTCCTGTTCTTTAATTTGGCATTTAGGAAAAATATACTAAAACAGTCCATATTTTTCCACATACAACATGACTGTATTTAATTAAGGAGTTGTCATTGAAACTTAAACATTTGTCGGTTTCAGTCCAAAGAAATCATGAAAGACTTCAAGACATCATGAACACGATTGCCCTACAACAGCAAGGCAGAGAAAGCAAAGATCATCTGTTCCAAACACAAACACAGGAACTACAATCTAAAAGGCTTCTATGTGTGTTTCTTGTTTTAGTTCTTGAGCTTTTATGTCAGTCCTGCTTTTGTCCGCTGCAGAGCGATGTTATGAGTCTGTAGGTTTGTGGTTGAGCCTCTTCCTGTTCAGCCGTCCGAAACAGAGAGTGAAGCCATTTCCGATAAATGATGGTTCAGAGCTTGATGCGAGCTGGTGTCTCTGAAAGACTCTGAAAGATTGCTGTCATATTACTGATACGTTGTGGAGGAAAAGTCATTGACTGAGAGGCAACAAAGAAAATCTCAGTAGCAGGTTCTAGTTCTGCTGGAAAATCAGTTTTAGACCTAAAGAAAGATGAAGAGCAGCTCTATGAAAACACAACTTTTCATTTCCATCAGACCAACCAACCAACAAATAAAAATGTCCACAGGGCAAAGATTAAGAGGTTAACAGGACTGATTGCAAAGCTAAAAACAATACCTTTAATGGTCTATTAGAACAGGATCAGCAGAAAATAAATACTTTTGAATCTAATATGACTGAATTATGTACAGAGCCAAAGGACTTCAAATTATGCTATGGCTCATAAGCTATTTATATTATAACATAATGAAGCACTTGGATTATATTGCATCTCTGCTGAATCAAAATATTCGAAGAGCTATGACATTCATGGCTTTTAAGTACATTTGTGAAATATAATCGTGTACCTCAGATATTCTACATGTTTAGATTTCTACTTGCTCAAGAGTGGCACAAACAAAAAAGATTAAAAAAAATCTAGAGAAATGGGCTGTGAAAGAAAGGTGTAACTAGCACATATGGAGGAAATGACAACCTGTGGTTTCAGACAAGAAGACTTTCAGATGATGAACAGAACAGAATGCATCATCATCATCACTGTTCAGACTGCAGACGGTCGGGTGAAAGGATGAACCTCCTCAAGTGTTTCCTGCTCCTGTGTGTTGGTTCAGATCCTTCCTGGGGTAAGTAAGAACAGAAAGTCTTTGTTTTTGCTTCAATCATCACAAAGTCGTAAAATACAACTATGTCATCTACACAACAGTGAGTTAAAATCTGTGGAGATACGACATATTTGAATCAAAATGTCTGAATGAATCCTGCAAAGCTTAAAGACAGAATGTAGTTTAAATCAATAAAACTATTTCACCTAATAGTTCTAACTGATGGTTCTGCAAACTAAAATTGCAAAACTGTGTTTTTATTGTGCATATCGACAGTCACATTCAATAAATTAGAATATTCTTGAAAGTTCATTTATTTTAGCAAATAAAATTTAGTTTAGTTCACTCTGTAAAACATATTATAGGCTATAGATAAATCGCACACAGATTGACGACTTCAAGTCTTTATTTCTTTTAATTATGATGTTTTTCCGCTTACAGCCAGTAAAAACACACAATTAGGATTAGAATATTACATCAGGTCAAAAGGGACACATTTTTAACACAAAAATAATAAGAAATACGTTTAATTCCCGCTTACAGGTTGTTGTTTTCAAAAGGTTCTTATGATCTGATGAATGAGCCTCATCAGAATGCATGTTCACTTTTCCATAAAAAACTAATAAATACTAGAGAAAACAGACCTGTTTTGCTTCCACTTGACACATTTTGCAAATATTTTTTTCGATGCTTGTGACTGTGTCCCTCCGCAGGTGTTTCGTCCCACGCTCTTGTTGTGAGTCAGAGTGCGGACATTTCTGTTCTGGAGGGAAAGACAGTGAACATCACCTGCTGCTGGACTGACACTGCCGAGAGAGTCGGCCTTAAATGGCTGAAAAACCAAACTTTAATCAGGAGTAAGGCTATCATAGATCAGTCTGGAGGCTCTTGGAATGAGCATAAAAACAAATGTGACAATCTGACATTGGAAAATATTAAAAGAGCTGACTCGGGAACATACATCTGCAAGGTTAGTGTGGAAATACCAGTTTTGATTGAAACTGAAGGAACTGGTACAACCATCAGAGTTACACCCAGAGAGAACCCAGCAAAAGGCGCAGACCACCAGACTGGAAACGGTGACCAATAAAACTCTTTTGACCAAGATTCACCGAGATATTTACGCCTGTAAGATAACATATCTGTTTAATTTGAAGAGAAGAAGAGGACAGGTGAAGCAGGTGAAGACAAGGGAGATGACAACAGTAAAACCCACAGTAGGTGACAAAACACCACAGACCTAGAAATACAGCCATGGACTGTTTAATGCGATGCTTTCTATTAAATGGGAAAATCTAATCTCTGTCTTTATCTTTATTTAGAAGACAAAGAAAAGGCAGTCATACACAAAGAGAAAACAACTGACAGACCAATTAATCTCATGGCTAAAGGTAAGTGACATATAACTAATACTGTAATTTGTTGTGATACCATATGGAGAAACCAACAATCCATAGAGGAAGTTTAAACTGATTATTTTACAGATAAGGAGAAAACCAGAGAGAAGTCGGGAGAGAGGAAAAACCAACGACCAGCTGACGGTAAATCAGATGTTTGGTTGAATATATTGAGCCGGACTTTGCACAACCCGCATATCAGCTGACCACAACACAGATGTTTCATTTCCTGCACTTCACTGGAGCGCTACAAATATTTCTAAGAAATATATAATGACTTACCGAGAAATGTTTCAGATGTTATTATTAAATATGATGATGATGATTATTATTATTATTATTATATAATATATAATTATATATATTATACAAAAAAATATATATATATATATATAGTATATAATATATACTATATATATATAATTTATTATATATTTATTCTTATTATTATCAATAATAATATCAATAATAATAATAATAATAATAATAAAAATAATAATAATGATAGTGAATTATGTTTCCAAACGTTTTGGAGCAAGTCAACCAGGCTACCAGACCATAATTATGTCTCAAGCTAACATGGACCGTGCATTTCATAAAAATGGAGATGGCACTCTTTTTCAGAAACCACCTCAATCGAAATTGAGAAACTTACGTCGAATGTTGCCTTTTCAAAAACGAGACTTCAAAATGCGGGTAAATATATGAGTTATATATGTCTTATGGCTATGTGAATAATAAATTTAACAAATAACCTACTAGTCATGATAAACTATTGAACAAAACTCACCTTTATTTTGACGGTTCCCCCGCTGTTGCGACAGCTTGTTCAGCGCTCATACAAGCACGCGTGTTCGGTGCTCTTATCTATGGACACCGTGAAAACCCAAACAGTGTGTTACAGTGGAGTTGGCCACTTCCATTCACTTTTTGCAACTGCGCCTGACCACACACACATACATGCATACTTTTAATTGAATTATTATCTATCTCTACAAGAAATTAGTATTGTAACATATTGTTGCAGTTTTTTCTGACATACAGCGCAAGGGTTCCTCTCCAACTTGGGCATTGACTACTGTGAAGTGCACAATTCAGAGACTGAGGTCCAGACAAAAGTCAGGGAGCAAAAACAATCTTTAATACATCTGCAGACGAAGAGCAAGAAAAACACTGCATTAGGCACAAATTAGGATCTGCTCTGAGGAACCCACAGTTGCATAGTTACTTTATTCCTCTCTCTTTACTACCGAGGCGGAGACTCAATCTTCTAAGACCAAACAAAAGAGACAAAGGAAAACATAAGGAATGTAAGGATTGTATGCTCATTCACTGTAATGTCTATGGGAGGTGAAAACTAAACGCTCTATCTCCATGCAGGGAAGGCCACGTGAAAAACAGCAAGTTCCCAAATCACTGTCTGGGGAAGTTCAGCAACCCTGGCTCAGTAGACACAGTAGACACATCATGTTTCATTAGTTTGTACAAAGTTTCCAGCTACACAGAAAAACACCTTGACTGTGATACAAAAAACATTACATTTATATGACACATAAAGGAACATCATTTAATAAAACCTCTTCAGACTACCATGTTCCTTAAAGCACTTGGCCGTTCCCCAATGTTAAGACACAAACCAACAGACATGAGAGAGACCTCTCACTGGGGATCAACTGTCTAAGAAAAGACAATAGGACATTAACTTAGCTCTTCCTTTAGATGTTTTCATTTCCACTTGTCTTGTTAAAGTTTTCAGTCCATCATCATATTAGTACTTGTTCATGAGAAAAATGAAAGCTGAATTGACAACAATAACTTGTATATTGTATTTAGATGATTCCCATGAGCAAGTGTTCACCTTCATCCTGAGGTCTCTGCCCATCGTTGCCCTCATCACTGCCTTCTTTTGGCTCTACTATGTCGGGACCAAAGCCAAGAGAGAAAAAGCAGGTATTGGATCTCATTCTCTTAAGGTGTACTGTGTGGATACTTATCTGTGGAGTTGACTGATGTTATGTTTTATTTTTCTTTTAAATTTTCAGCTGCTTCTAGAAATAAAGCGTCTTCGCAACAACACACAGAGGACAAGGGAGAAGAGATGGTGACAAAAGAAGCAGAAGAGAAATGTACGAAGACCGGGATGGCTAGTGATCATCATGTTCATCCTGCAGAGGACATGGACTGAACTGGACCATTTAGTTTTACATTCAGTCAGCCGACTTGTAGGTCTCAGGGATGTTGGAGCTTGTCTCTCACAGTCAGTGGATCAGAGGCAGGATTTCTTCGTGAACTGAACTGGCTACCAGCCCAACATAGGTCAACATAGACACAAACTAGAAAAAAACATTCCACTCAGTGTAAGTTAAAGTATCCAGTCAACCAAACATTTATGGTTGTGGGGGAAGGAAAGAAGCAAGAAAGTAAAAAGCAATGTGTAAAGTGTCTTTCAAGTGCTTCAACAAACAAAATGACAAATACACAAAGTAACTACATGTTACATGTAAAACGACATGTAAAAATTTTTAAACATTTTACTTACTTTTTGTTTTATTAACCTGGTGCAATGAATCATCAGAGATCTTGCTTAGCAAATATTTTTCAAGCTGTGCTAATTTGTGACCTTATCGGTGGGAACATTTATGCAAACTTAGTATCCAATATCAGAGCAAGTCTGAAAGACTGAACTATATAATGTTCAGTCACAAGTTTTGGTGAAAAACCAGAAGAAAATAAACATTTGGACATTTATTTCTGTTTGAAATAGTGAGCTTGTGAAAAAATAACTTAAAGGGTAAACTTTGTTGCTGACACTTTATGAGGGGATTTATACAGTTTTCTTGGATTCTTTCTGCTTCTTTATTGTTTTCTAATGCATCTGAGGCATTTGCACATATTTGTATCTGTTTAAAGTTTAGAAACCACAAAATCTCTTGTTCCCACTTAAGATCACACATTGTTGTGTTTCTAGTTGCAACGTTGCAAAACGTGGACAAAGCGTAGAGGCTATAAATCATGAATGTAACTGAAAGCTAACAGAGACAAACCTCTGTCTTCGTTGCGAAGCGTTGTTGTGTAACCTGTGGTTTTAAGTCTAATTTAAGAATGAGGAGCTTTTCTTCTGACCAATTCTACAGAAACGAAGGTCGTCTCTGGGAAAGTGTGACAGTGTTTCTGCGTCATCTGCTCTTAGTGTTCAACCACACGAAGGTATACCACCCCCTTCACACAGACCTATAAACACTTTAAAGTGTTCCTTTTAAGTTTATATTTATTAAACAAAACAAAGACATTCTGACACAAAACCACAAAATTGCGATTAATCTGATATTGTATTGGCATCTGATTAAGAAGCATCAATGTTATAACGCTAGAAATGAAAATACAGAGGGCTGCACTCAGAATACTGGTGTTTTGTGCCCCCTGCTGGTGATACAGATGCGTCACCAGTCTGGATGAGATTACTGCTAGTTAAATTCAAGGTTGGAGGAACAGTCATCATTTACATGACAAAGATCTTTGGAAGAATCCTTCTAACACAAGGATGTAAGGAGGATTCATTTGTAAACAATCTTCCTATTGTTAAGAATTAAAAGAGGAATAACTTGATTTAGCTTGTTAATTAATTCTTTGTCCCGAATTCCTGTGTCTGTGTAAGTGTGCAGAGAGAAAAGAGCAATCATACAACGTCAGATTTCAGATATCCATAACTTTATCCAAAAGTGAATACAAATACATACAGAATAACAGAACACCATTTACACCCAGATATATCAAGAAGCCAACACCCAATGACAAAACAGAATATTACCTGATTCAAAAATGCATTTTTGGGAACCACTCACTCAGCACCAAGCGATTCGAACTTCTGCTGTAAAACAAATCATTTATAGAATGCGTATTCTCATCATTTAAATATATGCATTAGGAGGTGTGTTCTTTTCCTTTGTGTGGGTCTTAATGTTAATTTTACCACCTCCTGCTAAAGAGCCCCAAAGGCAGATATATGGCCCGGATCTTGTCATACCTGCCGCTGTCCAGTTTGATATATGATTGCAGCTGCAGCGCTATCTCTGCCTCAAAATGTTTCCACAAGAAAGTAGTTTGTATTTTAACCAAGCTTGCACACAATGTAATGCTAAATAATGACTATAAGTTTGGATCTAATAAGTAACTATTTAAAAACATGCTTAAAGAAATATAGTTAATTCTAATATAGATAAAATTATTTATAAAAAGTTTTAAGATCCTAGTGAACTTTTGAACCATGCTCAGGAATTTGTTAATTGCCTGGCAGACAGGCTCCCTATCTAAAGAGATCCAAGGAGTCTAGGCCTGTGTTTTCTGTTTTTTCTGTCTGATCCTCCTTTTAAGAATTTATCTGCGTTTCAGAGATTGAGCCGTTGTTTTTAGTTTCATCTAAATTTATATGAACCTACAGTGTACTTTAACTTTCTATGTTATATTTCATATGTGTCAAAACTATCCTGTGCAGTATTGTGCTAACTTAAAACTCTATGTCAATACTATGCACTTCAGAACAAAGACTTTGGAAAAGACTGTTTTGCATCTTGACAATAAATCGAAGAGAAAAGAGGGGGAGGAATGAGATGGGTACGTCAATCAGACACTTTGAAAGTATTGTGAAAAGTTTAGCATAGCAGAGGATGGTTTCGATCCATTGACCTGTGGGTTATGGGCCCAGCGCGCTTCCGCTGCGCCACTCGGCTTTTACCTAACGATCCTTTACCCAACGTGCCGCAACCCCGGATTCGAACCGGGGTTGCTGCAGCCAAAACGCAGAGTACTAACCACTATACGATCATGGCTATACGCTAGAGTGTGTCGTTCGACAGCCACTCCTAACAAACCTTTCCTCTGAAGATGTGGAGAAAAGAGAAAAGGAGTCCTTCGAGCCAGAGTTGAACCAGCGACTTAAGGATGTCCACCTGTCTGGCTTCGATTCCTGGCTAACTCGAGCAACTTTTCTTCTCTCGTCCACACCAAGCGCGTGGCCGTTGCAGAGTCCTAGGCGTCATCTCCGTCCCAAAACCCTGAGAGGAAGTCCGCTTTACGCCACCTGTTTATTCCTGAATGGCAAAGTAAACGACGGTGGAGCAGAGGTTGGAGGAACAGTCATCATTTACATGACACAGATCTTTGGAAGAATCCTTCTAACACAAGGATGGAAGGAGGATTAATTTGTAACAATCTTCCTATGCACTTCAGAACAAAGACTTTGGAAAAGACTGTTTTGCATCTTGACAATAGATCGAAGAGAAAAGAGGGGGAGGAATGAGATGGGTGTCAATCAGACACTTTGAACGTATTGTGAAAAGTTTAGCATAGCAGAGGATGGTTTCGATCCATCGACCTCTGGGTTATTTGCCCAGCACGCTTCCGCTGCACCACTCTGCTTTTACCCAACGTGCCGTGACCCGAATTCGAACCGGGGTTGCTGCGGCCACAACGCAGAGTACTAACCACTATACGATCACGGCTATACGCTAGAGGGTGTCGTTCGACAGCAACTCCTAACAAACCTTTCCTCTGAAGATGTGGAAATAAGATAAAAGGAGTCCTTCGAGCCGGAGTTGAACCAGCGACCTAAGGATGTCCACCTTTGTACTCTACAGTCCTCCGCTCTACCAACTGAGCTATCGAAGGTTCTGTGCCACGGAGGTGAGAAGCGCTCACATGCCTCTACACAGCTGCATGAGAATGCACATATGAAGGTTGTGAGTTCAACCCTCACACGAAGTACGTGTTTTGATAAACACAACCATTTTGCCACACGCTGCAAACAGTCGGTCCCGGTCCGACACGATGAGAAGGAGTTCCTTGACACCAGATGGGCTAGTTGGGCAACGACTAACGCAACTGATTACGGATCGGAAGAGTCTGGCTTCGATTCCTGGCTAACTCGAGCAACTTTTCTTCTCTCGTCCACACCAAGCGCGTGGCCGTTGCAGAGTCCTAGGCGTCATCTCCGTCCCAAACCCCTGAGAGGAGGTCCGCTTTACGCCACCTGTTTATTCCTGAATGGCAAAGTAAACGACGGTGGAGCAGAGGTTGGAGGAACAGTCATCATTTACATGACACAGATCTTTGGAAGAATCCTTCTAACACAAGGATGGAAGGAGGATTAATTTGTAAACAATCTTCCTATGCACTTTCAGACAAAGACTTTGGAAAAGACTGTTTTGCATCTTGACAATGATCGAAGAGAAAAGAGGGGGAGGAATGAGATGGGTACGTCAATCAGACACTTTGAACGTATTGTGAAAAGTTTAGCATAGCAGAGGATGGTTTCGATCCATCGACCTCTGGGTTATGGGCCCAGCACGCTTCCGCTGCGCCACTCTGCTTTTACCCAACGTGCCGTGACCCGGATTCGAACCGGGGTTGCTGCGGCCACAACGCAGAGTACTAACCACTATACGATCACGGCTATACGCTAGAGTGTGTCGTTCGACAGCAACTCCTAACAAACCTTTCCTCTGAAGATGTGGAAAAAAGATAAAAGGAGTCCTTCGAGCCGGAGTTGAACCAGCGACCTAAGGATGTCCACCTTTGTACTCTACAGTCCTCCGCTCTACCAACTGAGCTATCGAAGGTTCTGTGCCAGGGAGTGAGAAGCGCTCACATGCCTCTACACAGCTGCATGAGAATGCACATATGAAGGTTGTGAGTTCAACCCTCACACGAAGTACGTGTTTTGATAAACACAACCATTTTGCCACACGCTGCAAACAGTCGGTCCCGGTCCGACACGATGAGAAGGAGTTCCTTGACACCAGATGGGCTAGTTGGGCAACGACTAACGCAACTGATTACGGATCGGAAGAGTCTGGCTTCGATTCCTGGCTAACTCGAGCAACTTTTCTTCTCTCGTCCACACCAAGCGCGTGGCCGTTGCAGAGTCCTAGGCGTCATCTCCGTCCCAAACCCCTGAGAGGAGGTCCGCTTTACGCCACCTGTTTATTCCTGAATGGCAAAGTAAACGACGGTGGAGCAGAGGTTGGAGGAACAGTCATCATTTACATGACACAGATCTTTGGAAGAATCCTTCTAACACAAGGATGGAAGGAGGATTAATTTGTAAACAATCTTCCTATGCACTTCAGAACAATGACTTTGGAAAAGACTGTTTTGCATCTTGAAAATAGATCGAAGAGAAAATAGGGGGAGGAATGAGATGGGTACGTCAATCAGACACTTTGAACGTATTGTGAAAAGTTTAGCATAGCAGAGGATGGTTTCGATCCATCGACCTCTGGGTTATTTGCCCAGCACGCTTCCGCTGCACCACTCTGCTTTTACCCAACGTGCCGTGACCCGATTCGAACCGGGGTTGCTGCGGCCACAACGCAGAGTACTAACCACTATACGATCACGGCTATACGCTAGAGGGTGTCGTTCGACAGCAACTCCTAACAAACCTTTCCTCTGAAGATGTGGAAAAAAGATAAAAGGAGTCCTTCGAGCCGGAGTTGAACCAGCGACCTAAGGATGTCCACCTTTGTACTCTACAGTCCTCCGCTCTACCAACTGAGCTATCGAAGGTTCTGTGCCAGGGAGTGAGAAGCGCTCACATGCCTCTACACAGCTGCATGAGAATGCACATATGAAGGTTGTGAGTTCAACCCTCACACGAAGTACGTGTTTTGATAAACACAACCATTTTGCCACACGCTGCAAACAGTCGGTCCCGGTCCGACACGATGAGAAGGAGTTCCTTGACACCAGATGGGCTAGTTGGGCAACGACTAACGCAACTGATTACG